AAAACGCGAAATATATTGAATAACTAAACTAACTGAGTGACCACGGCTACTGCGAAGTATCCGTCGAGCCGTAGTTAAAATAGATTGTAAATAAGTTAACTAATATAATTCGCGTTTTAAATCGTTTAAAGGTTTTATTTAGAAATTATTTAAGAGAACATTTAAATTACGTGTTATTTTTACATTTCGGGTGTTTTACTTCTTGGTGCAATAAATTATTATCTTTGTAAACAAAGACTTGCTTTAGGAATTATTATACTCATTATTGAATATGGCCACTAACAAGAAAATAAAGGCTAAATATAAACCACTCATTTGAGTAATGAAATACATTTTCATTGCCAATTAAACTATTTACAAACATGAAACATGTTTCTTGCGCGTGCGCGTCGTGGCGTGTCATTTTGACTATTGTGGATACAGAATATTGTATAAGAAAGACTAGAAAGGAAAGGAATGTGTGTTCCTAAGTTAAAAATATAATATAAAATGTATGAAATTACAATGCCTTCTTTTATTCCTATTGCCGTTTGCAGCGTTAACACAAAGATTACTGCTTTAAAGATTTCTTGAAACAAGGTAATCCTTTTCAACGTAGGTATCTTAAGACTTAGTCAAAGTCCTTAGGTAATAAATATAGCCTTAAAAAAAGTTGCGTGAGAGATTCATGAAGGTAGATGCATAGGACAATGTGGCTTAATTGATTAGAGCAACAGCACGGAAAGCTGTCGATGACGATTCAAGTCCTGTCCGTGTTATATATTTTTTTCAATCTAAAATCGATTTTTAGCTTAAACTGAACCACCTGAATCAATGGAATTTTCAAGCGTCAAATGTTTAGAACTAAATAATGATGTATCGCCATACACCTTTACAAACTTTCGGATAATAAATAACCTAAATTACTTCGTTATACGCGAGCAAGACATAGATGGGGGCTGTTTGGAAGCGCGCCAGACATCTATAAGAATAATATTTTCCCGAACTTCGTTTAATAAGATGTAATCTAAACATGGTTTAATGTTATTCTTTGTCCGTGGATATTCCAAATGTCAAAAGACCTCTGAAAATATTTTTAGTAATTTCCCGCAGAATGATTAATTATTAATTTGGCGCCAAAGAAATCGTCACTAAATTGACAGCTAAATTACAAAAGCGGCCATTTTGATTTCTATAGGCATAACGTTCTAAATTTAAAATTTTAAGAAAATGTTAGTACAGATCAATAAACAGATATATTAAATGCTAGCCTGTAGTTTATCTTCATTTCAACTTTTTTAACGCGATTATATTAGTTAACTTATTTGTAAATTATTTTAACTACAGTCCGACGTTTATTTAAATATGTAATAAGAATGTTTAAAGTTTGAATTGTACAATACCTACTTAAATTTAAATTTGTGCTCGTGTGTAGATAATTATATATATATTAGGTATTGCAAAACACGATGGGAAATGACTATCGAACAATAGAATGTTGCCAGTTGTAATAATTGTTTGCAATAAAACAAAATAAACAATGACATCGCCATGTTGACTTTAACGAGATGTTTTGTAAATAGTCCATGTTTGTGAAAATAATTCGTGCATGAAAATTGTAAGCAACGAAATTAGAGTTTTTCAGTAGTTTATTTTTTGACTTATCTAAGTAACCGGAGAAAAAAATATCATATTCCTAAAAAAATTATTTTTTACCTAGCATTGCATAAAGCACGAAAGATCCTTCGTTGGAATCCCGGGGAAACAGTAAATTGTTTCGTTTGGGTAGGGTACAGATATCCTATCGACTACTTGCCAGTGAATTAAATCTATCAGTGAAATGGACACGGGGGGAAACAAGATATATAAAAACATGATAGTTGTGTATGACGATGTTGGAAATCAAACCATAATATAATAACGGTGTGTCCTGCTTTACGTCCATACATGCCATAAAGAAGATCAAAAACCGAAATTACACAAAACATGGAATAATATTGAGGGAAATCTTTTGGGCTCCTAGCACTTCTACTGTCTTTACACATCCAGGAATTTATATCAATAAGAGCACCTGCGGTATTATTGCTTCCGGAGACTAATGCGCTCGCAAATAAATTGCCATTGCCACATGCTTCGATCGTAAAGTAGCGGCTATAAATAATCTAGATTTTATCTCTGCATAAATTCAGTTACACTAATATTTGTTACAACGCCAGGACTAACAAGAGGACGGAATCCGCTACAGTTAGAAAAGTAACGTTTAATTAAATAAAGCAATTTTAACGGTTTAAACTTGAAATATATTACTCGATTATTTTTCTGTAGTTTACGGGTAGTACACATAGAAATAAAACACTCAGCTGTCCCCTCGTGACCACGGCTGCAGCAAAAAAAAGGGCAGTAGTTAAAATAAATTATAAACAATTCAATTAATATATTTCGCGTTTTAAATCGTCAAAACTGTATTACTGAAATGTGTACTCCTATCGTAAACTACAAACATTAACAATATATAGTTTATCATTAACGACTTGTTCATAAAGTCAGTATGAACCAATGTTTCAAAGCTAACTAGATATCATATAAAGTTTATATTTAATTTCAGATTTGAGTAGTTTATAAGAAAACAAGCACTAAAGACTGAAAATAAAAAAAATAATGCCCTGTCCGCGTGAAAGAGTGACAAACATCCATATATAGACCAGACACGTAGGTATACCAGCTAGTTAATTAGTCTAATTCAATTGTTTCACTGCGACATAGAACAAAGCATTAGTGCAGAATGGATGTTATATAAAGACATCGGGTAATGTAAATATTATTGGATGCCATAGCACACCTCTGTTATCCTAATAGCTTTACAAGCGATGCAAAGTAAATCGAGTCAAAGTCGCGCCCTTTTCCATTAGACATGGCTCTTGGTAATGCACCTAGAAAAAGATATTATGGAATGAGTTGTGGACTAAATTCAATTCATATACGGTTTTTCCGAGATTACCATACGAAGCGTGGGGCATGGGGCAAAATCATGTGTTCGTTTCACAGAACGGCTTGAGCAGGTAGTTTATAAGACTTCTGTGTCCTGCCTGACCGAAACAATGTATTGTTTTCCTGGTATTCGAACCCAGGACCTCTCGTGCTTAACGCAATGCCAAGCAACATGTTTAATCATTTAGGTACAAAGGCGGTCTGAAAATACAAATATACGTTACAACTAATACCTTACTTCATTCACTATGAATTTATATTTTAGGAGGACAGCTGCATTAAATGTGAAGCGTAAAATTAATGAAAATGTAATTTCGTGTCTTAATCAGTTAAAAGTGTTTAATATAATGTTTACTACATTATATAACATCTTATTAGTAATAAGAAGCTATTGAATAAACAATAATTAAAACCATCTAAAGATGCATTCCGTTTTATCTGTCGTAAAATGGAGTGCGCACACAATTACTAATAAAAAGCGCTTTAAAATCATGATTTGACAGAAATACACGCCAGACTCTCATTACGATCAGTGAAATTTTAATGTTCGTCGATTGTTTTTTGTTAAGGAACTACTAGAGTTGTACCGCGGCGTTGCCCGTTGCATCTTAGCTACACCTTGATAACAATAGTATTTTTTTTAAATTATTATATCCAAAGCCAAATTAGATCGACAGCGCATCGTGTTTTGGTTGGTTCATCTTCATGGTTGTCTGTCTTCCTCTATCATAAAAAAAATAATTTGGGGAAATTATAAACTTAAACACAATATTTTATATCTATAGAATTGGTAGCATACGGCCTATGACTAACGTTTCACAGTAACACGTAATGGGTATTTAACGGAAGATTTACATACAATTAACTTTTTGCATGTACCGGTAATTGAAATAGTACAGTCACCGAAAAAAACGTTTATGGCTCGAAGGCATTTGAAATACAAGCAGGTACAGTTAAGTCAACAACAAAACAAATGACTGCAAAAGATGATGATGATTTAAATAAAACACTTTACGGTTTAAAACGCGATTCATATTAGTTAAACTTATTAAAAAAAAATTAACTTCGACCTGACGTTTCGGGTGCTTTGCAGCACCCGTGTCTCCCCAGTGGTCACGCGTTTTAAACCGTGAAAATGTTTTATTTAAATGTGTACTACTAAACGTGTAAACTATAGAAAGTATTTAAAGATGATTATTCATTTTACTGCTTTAATCTAATATATCATAAGTAATTGAAAGAATAAACTACAGAACTTCATACTTACTAGTTGTATTTAACTAAGACTTGAATTAATGTAATCTGTGGAGACAACGCGCGCGGTTCTAAATATTTCAAAATCCATAGATTTTTTATAGATGGTTGATGTATGATAATCTCACCGAATTTATAATTCGTAACAATTGACATATGGGTGTATTGTATAATATCTGATAATTCTGTATCCCATTGTACATGGATATATACCAATACTAGTCCTGCGGTAATCTTGATTGGACTGTATCGTTCCCTCGTAAATGTTTTAATGGCTAATTAAATGAAGCAAACGTTTAATCGTTCCTGAATCAATTGTCTTTTAACCTTCAATTGAAAATATCGGCTTTCTATAATATCCTAACAGTTTTGACCAGGATAAAAAAAACAAATCAATGCATAGATAACTTTGGTAGGTAAAGAAGTTATGGTAAAATATGTAAAAAAAAACAATAAAAGCTTTTTTATATATAGCAGAATGTTAAAATATTAAGAAAATGTCTGCATCAACTTGAAATAAGTAAAGCTAAGATATAATACATTTAGCAAAAAATTTAACAGTGATAAGCATCATGGTTTAGAGTAAAAATAGATCTAATGAACAACAGCACGAAACGCTGACGATGTCGGTTCAAGTCCTGCCCGAGTCGAAAATTTTTTCAATTAATTTATTACAATTGATTTTTAAATAAGATCAAATGAGTTTTTTTAGTTTTGCGACTAGAATAACCTTCTCTTCTCACAAACCGTCTCGTTTATGGTATATCTGATACACTTACCGAATAACCAATTCCAATATGTCCTCCCGCTCGAAAACCTTGCAGTACAGATGCAAAATCTTCAGGCAGGTATACTGAAGTCCAGACCACGTGACATCAACAGACTTCAAAGCCTGTTCCCATGGGCAGTTCTCGTGTCTCGACAGGCAAAGCATGCCGTCGCGTTCCGTCTCCGTTGGAGGCATTTAATCTTTGGTAGTCTATGTTCTTTGGTATTCAATTCGTTCATAAACTTTTTGCTTTTCACTTCATTTATCACAATGTCGAAGTTCCATTATTAAACGTTTAAAATTTATTTTTTATTGTTATCTGTGTAGATTCGATTTCAACGGTTCATGAAGGTATTATATTCGTTTATTTTAATAACAAGACTAGGATTGAAAATTAATATGGAAGAAATATCAACTTAACAACAAACGACGGTAACTCCAGATTATCAAAACAGTTAATATATTTAAAAAAATATTTATGGTGAATTACTTCGGCCAATGATCTTTGCCCAAAATAAGATTAAGCCAGCGAGTACTACACATTTATATAAAGGACTACAACGGTATAAAAACGCGAAATATTTATATTAGTTAAACATATTTGAACATTATTTTTATTAATAAATTTCGCGTTTTAAACCGTTAAAGTATTATATTTAAATAAGATTAACTAACATTACATCTGTACTTCAATCTAAAGTAGGTTCGGATTTTTTTTAATTTAGACACAACCAATTCAGGTGGTTCGTTAAGAATGAGTAGACGCGGCACGTAAAAATTTTAATAGCGAACATAGAACTTGTCCGGTACCTTATTTGGTAAGTAATTATGTCTGTAATAAACCGAAACATTTAAACGATTATGTGCCGTGTTTTAATGGTGATAATGGCTTTAATAGTGTTAAGAAAAAGCCAGAGGCAAATTATGTCATTGTCATTTATTTCTTCAGGAGCTTAACTGGAGAGATGCAGACAACAAACAGTTGGTTAATGATTATTGAAGCCTGGGGCAAGATAGAAGAAGAATATATATACATACGTCATCATGCTCAATATCCCTTTGCCACTTATTTTGTGTCAAGCCATCTCTCTTTGAATCGTGAATTTTTGTTACTTTTAGGGAAGGGACTAAGTTTGACAACTAGCAAACTGATCTTAAGCAGTTCAAATTCTTGTTCAAAACAGACAAAATATTTTTTCACGTCTGACTCTTATTAATAAGAATTATGACAATTTTAGCGATTACGGTATATAGAATTCATACGATCGAAATACCTTATGGGATGTTACAACCGACACTAGAATTATTGTTAAGTGTATGTGGTATATTTGAATTAGAATATATTGTATACAAATATTGCTATAAAATATTACTATATTCAACAAGTAAACAAAGAAGTAGCGATGAAATCCTGAATTATTAACATACATTTACATTAACATTTGAGTGGTATGAAATTTTTCATAAAATACTATTTTGTGGTAAAAAAAAATGAATAAAAATGAGAAAATGTTAAAATTTTGCTAAAATTTTTGAAAAGGGACAACCTTTTTTCCTACTTGTTGTTAAAAGCTAATTTAGTTTAGTTATTTCAACAGGCTGACAGTTGCCTACTTATCTCACATTCAAGTAGGAAACAACTAATGGTAAAAAAAACTTAAAGCTCCATAGCCTATGTTAATTGTAACCAAACTAGGTCGCGTCGCCTTGTATGATAAATAATCGTGTGACTGTAATATTAAGGACAAATTAATAAGAGGAAGCTTGTTATAAATTATCCAATAAGGAATGTTAACTGAAGGAAGTTGTATTTTAAATTGTTCTCGTGTAATAAATTTATATTTGACCGCCTTGCATTATATCTGGATTCAAAACGGAAAAATTACAATACAACAAATACGGTCTCGTTGGTCTAATAGTAGCAATGTATGGCTAGTAATCAACAGGCCGTCGATTCGATCCCCATCGGGCCCAACAATTTTTTTAATCAAGTTATAGTTTTTCTGTAACATGTTGGGAGGCAATAAATTTTACATGTTAATGATCGATCAGGGAAACAGAAAAGAATGTGTTCGTCCCGTAAGGGTTATAAGTGTATTTATAATAAACAATACGACTTTATTATCAAGGCTCTAGAATATGTACAAAATTACAAAGCCGAGCGTCAAACCCGCGATGTTTCGTATTGAATTTGTTTGCCAACTCTTAAAATAAACGCTACGTCAAAGCGATAGAGAAAGCAATAAAATATGATTGTTTGAATAAAATCTCTTTTCAGAAGTTAGTCGGAATCACACTGATGTCAAACATATCTCAACTTCTGTTATTCCGGAACTAATTTATAAAGGCGTCTTCAGACGAGCAGTAGTTCTTTATCAATGTTCATTAGTGCGCAAATATGAATGCAAACATTAATCTCTGCCATATTACTTTATAACGGGAGAAAAAATTTACATTTCAAATTTCATTATAAACTAGCTGTGCCAGCGACCTCGTCCGTGGAATAGTTTTTTTGGGCATCCAAACTGTATTTGCAAACCTACTCATCTTAATTTTTTTTTGTTATTTTCAGATTATTTAAAAAGGAATCATTCCTCTATACATATTTTTTGGTTCTTCAACTTTTTCGCAGCGTACGCATCAGAAACAAACAGAGATGAAAAATTTCCCCGTATTGTTCACATTTCCGCGATGTTATAGCCTATACCTTTCGAGAAATGCTCTAACTAACACAAAAATATCTTTCAATTCGAACCCGTAGTTCCTGATATTAGCGCGTTCAAAACGAACTCTTCACTTTAAATAGTAAGATAACGGAGAAAACATTTACATTTAAAGTTTTATTAAAAAAATTTATTATAATTTTAGTTATAAGTTAATACTGAAGTCTTAGTGTGTAAGTTTAATAGAAAATTTTCAAACAACCTCCTTGCTAACTCGCCTCTGAAGGACCACAGAATACAGTGTTGGGACATTAGTCCCTGATTGACTTCCTTTTCAGAGGCAACTATATTGTAGTATAAATTTAAATTTTATTTACTTCTTAATTTTTAATTATTTTAATTAAATTTTTGAATATTCTATTCTATAAAATGATTTGTTGGTTTAACAAATAGATTTGTAATGTAATAGGTACACATAATACGTACAACAACACAATTTGTACCGATTCATTAAGTAAGAACCCTTAACTATGTAAATGATAAAGCATAAAGAATCTATAAACTTAAGTAAACATTTCAATAAAACACTTTAACGGTTAAAACGCGATATATTTTAGTTAAACTTATTTGAAAATTATTTTTACGGCCCGACGACTTTAGGCTCCCCTAACCAAGTTTAACTAAAAAGTCGCGTTTTAAACCGTAAATGTATTACTACTGTACTACTCGCGTAAACTACAGACAGTAATTTTAAACATGTCAAGCGAACTTTCCCGGTAAAGTGATAAGTTTGAGAACTTAATTATTGTTCACAGCGTTCCGTGCTAGAGTAACAACTCTAACCTGCCGAGTGAAGCCGGTTCAAGTCCTGCCCGAGTCGTATTTTTTTTAAATTTATAATCGATTGTGAATAAGTTGACTCTCTCTCTCTGAACTATGATCATGATGTAGTCATATTATTAAACATCGGACCTTATTTCGAAATAAAAAAAGCAATATGGACACAGAAATGTATCTGTTTCACATATAGATGAAGATAGTTAAAAATTTTGCACTCGAGTAAACTACAACATCGACTTACATATTTGGAAGTAAAGAATATGCAAATGATAACAAGTCATTAACTTCTTTAATTTAATTCGAAGTGTATGAATGAGCATTACAAACTTCCGTCGCCTGTATCTCATTAAAATAAATGGCGTGTAAAAGTTTAATGTTCTCTGCTTTGATACAACGATATAAAAATGAATTATTTTGTAAAAGTTTGCTTTAATGGATGCGTTAAGTGTTATGGGGATGGAATTATGGGCGCAAAGGGAAATAATTCAATGCTTTTACTTTGTGGAAGAATGATGCGGAGAATCGGATATATTTATATGTCTGTTTCACTCAAAGATTTTAATTAGCTGTTTGTGTGTAAAATGTTTTATAGTATTTCGTAAAACCTTTTCTGCATTGCCTATAATTGTTCCTACCAAATAAGTAAGGAGCCTAATTAGTATCTATTAGAGACGGGCCGAGTACTCGGTTGATGTTCGGTACTCGGCGTACTCGGCGAGTTGATACTCGTACTCGGCCGAATAACTCGGTTATTTGATAACGAGTATACTTTGTTGAAGAACAACAATATATTTCGGTGGATATAATTATAATAATAGTATGAATCCAAAAGTATTTATAAGTAATTTAGGAAATCTTTTAAAATTTCTGTTAATAAAATCAAAACTATGCTAATGAATGAGTAGAAATGAGATAAAATTACGAGAAGGTGAGAGCGAGCCGACGTCTTGACCGGCGCGAACCTGTTTGTACTTGTTTACGCGGGCGAAGTAAGAATTTGATTACGAGTAAGTACTCGGTTGAAAAAAACTTGAACCAAGTAAAACTCGGTACTCGTTTCCTCGGCGCATCTCTAGTATCTATATTAATATTATGAAGAAAAAGAGTTTGAATAGAATTTCTTTGAACGTGCTAATTTCAGTAACTATTAGTTCGAATTGATTTTTTATGTTGCTGTAGACTATTTATCAAGGAAAGCTTTAGGCTATTAAATAAAAGGCGAACTATGGGATCAAATAAACAGTGAGAAATGTGGAAAAAACAGGTACTATTATTAATATTTATAGCTATTGAATAACTAAGTATAAAATAATGATTTTTCTTTGGATAACCTAAAAACGTAACATCAACGACAATGTATGTCTATCTTTAAAATTTAACTCTCACAAAAACCATTTTTACGTTAATCAAATTTGGACGATACTTCATATGGTAAAACAATGTTTGCCCCGTCAACTAGTAGCTATATATTTTCCCCGAGAATAGAACCCAAAACGAAACGCACAATATAATAAGAGCTAAGTATGTCCTCTAAAGGTTACGTAAAGTATTCTTAAGACGTTACATAGAATTGTCAGCAAACAGCTAAACGGTTCTCGACCCATTTGAAACCTTAGAGATTGTAATAATCTAATTTGCAATGCACTGAAAGACTGTCACAACTAAATGCTATTAATATTAATAAGTTCCGAT